TGCAGGAGATTTAGTGATTGTCTTGCAGATCTACTCTCCGAGCAATCTCGCACCGTGGTTTAGATCGCTGCGCGCTGCACGCAAGACTGCTAGCAGCGAGGAAGGTTTATGAGGTTGGACTAGCGCGACCACAAAAACTCTGTTCACAGCTTCGTCCATCTAGTGCAGATCAGTCGCGACGGCTTCCATCTGCTCGGTTTCTGTACCCCTATGCGAAAATTCCTGTAAACATGGAAATTTGCGGCTTATCCGTGGCCTTCGACGAACCATGGTCGGAGCAGTGGCACGCCGCCAGCACACTCGCCGGGCTGTGGTCGACTGGGAACCCTTTCCTTAAGACATCGGAGTATTCTCCACGCCAAATTGCATCGAGGTCCACCCACGCGCAGATCAAACAAGTGGTCGACTGCGCCGATTATGCGCTTGCGCTCGTCTACAGCTGTTGAGAGGCAATCGAGTCGTTCTCGCTCTGTCCGGCTGCAACACGTCTTGTCCATGTCAGCTTGACCGAACCTGGGCGAAGGCGCCCGATTTGCCAGGCAGCTTGAGTGCCCGGTGTTTCAGCCTCACCAATTCCAGCTCTCCGCAATTCTCAACGGACAGCTCAGAAGTCTGGTTCTAGAGGGTCCACGACACGCGAGGCTACTGTACGTGGCCACCACCTTTACCGGACTGTGGAGCCGATCGAAGAATCTGGTCGACAGCTCGACGGCGCGTCTTGGACCTTCTGCAGAAAGGCCTCGCACTCCCACGCAGGATCAAACGTGCCTGGCGGCGGGCCTAAGAGCGATCTTCATGTACCGCCTGCTGGGCAGCCACCGATAGCCAACAGCCGTCAGGGGTTTGCCTCGCCAATTTCTAAGCACTTCCATTCGCGGTCCGTCCGAGCTGCAAGTGCGGGAACTCTGCTCATGCATGCTGATGCGAGGATGCACGCTGCAGACGTGCTCATCGTGCACAAGGCGTGCGAATGATTCGAATCCAACCCAATGCGGTATTCAGCATAAGGCCAGTCCGTATGGCGCTATTGCCACCAGCGGGGATTCTCTGCTGAGGCCGCTGCGGACTCTCGGTGACCGAGTCGTGGTACCAGAGCTCCGGTTGCTGGACGTGGCTGCAGGAAAACGTTGCAACAGTGCAAAGAGCGAGGCGACATAACAATGTACTGTGTATAAGCCGTATCTTTGATTGCGGCCCTTGCTGCCGTCGCGCCCGCTCGAGGAAGTTGGGCGAGCCGTTATTCAAGAAAAGTGCCCCTGACAGCGCCGTGCACCGTGCTCCGAGACGGACCCTGCGAATGGGCAGGGATATGCTTCTCATTTCCTCGAACCGAAACTTGTGAAAGCCACCCATGCTAGTCTTCGGGTCGTTCAACCCCCAGCATCCAGTCCGCGCGCTGCGGCAGAGCTCCCCAAAAGCCATGATTCCCCCTTGCTGCTACCCTCCTCTACTGCCCGCAGCAAGGTGACCTCGGAGCTCTCAATTGACGGAGTGCGTATAGTACTCACGGTCCGCTCTCTCTTGTTCTCGCGGGTTGCCTTTCGGATACCTTTCACGCATCGCCTCATGTTCTCACAGTTATAGCTGTCATAATAATTGCTGGATTCATCCGCCTGCCGTTCTCTACACCCATACCGCAACGGCCATCTCGATTGGACCGACATCGAATCCGCCAACATGGCACCTTCTTTAAGTTTGCGACCGCGTACAGGCGCCAGCGAGCGTCCTCCCACGAGAGACAATGCCGACCACAGTCTCATCATCCCGAGCCGGACATCGTCGCTTCATTCGAGGATCACCCAACCGCTTCCATCGACTTTGAACGTCAAGCAGGGCGCGCGGAGCCCCAAGACCCTGACCCATGCCTACATGGTGTGTGGTGTTGGTCGCGAGCCATCACAATGGGTGAAGGCGCCTGCGCCCTCTCAGGGCAAGATTGGCCACATGAAGGGTGCTGTTGGTACCTTCTGGCTTCCTGAGATTCTGGGAAGCAGTCCAAGACTGGAGCAGGATAACGAGATCGCGAGGTCTCTTCATGCTGCCATGCGAGTACGTCTATACAACAATGTCATTGTTGGCGCGCTACTAACCACGCACACAGGCATGTTTCCCCCACGACGTCGAGATCTGCACTGGCAGGAGCCAGCCGCACTGCGTACACCACTCCTTCGTCCTGCAGCAAGATTCCTCACACACTCTTTACGGTATCGCACTGCGCGTCTGGTCTCGCGCTGATGAGAAGCGCGCTGAGACTATTCGCGACCTGCGCAAGCGAATCGAGCCCGACTTCTTCGACAACCCAGACGAGACATACTGGATCCCGTACTGCCTGAGCTTCCTCTCCCGATACCCCTTGTACAACCTACTCGGCGACTACCTGCGCGGCATGTGGATTCACTGGAATAAGGCTACCAACCTTTTCCATGCCGAGGAGGTTTCACGCATCCTCAGCTTCCCAGCTCCTCGCCTTAACGACCTGGTCCGCATCGACATGAAGGATTACGCGCTGTGCTACCAGTTCCCATCCTCGCCTACCGGATTCCAAAACTTCGCCATGTGGCCCCTCTTCACGTGTCTCTCAATTCCCAACATTGTGGGTGTGATAGAGGCTGCTGTATCGCCCACACGACGAATCATCTTCACCAGTCACTACCCCGCGATGCTCACCATCGCAGCCGAGACAGTCCGTTTCTGTGTCAGGGTGTACGAGTGGAGCGGTCTGTATGTACCCGTCGTTCATGCGCGTCACGTCAAGGATCTCGTGCAGGAGCCGGGCCCATACATTCTGGGTGTAACATCAGAGTGCCGATCGCTCTTCACGGCTCCCACAGATGCCCTTGTCGTCGACTTGGACCGGAACTTTGTTCTGACTTCAAGCCCGCCTACCGCTCTTACCGCCGGCCAGAGGACCAAGATGATCCAGCGTCTGACTCAGGCTCTCAACGGTGAGGTTTCACCAACCGGAGTTCCACAGCATCTGCGCTCGGCGTACGGGGGCGGCAAGCTCATCCCCGCGGGTCAAATCATTGTGATGCGTGGTGAGGTTGAGAGCATCCAGGACCCCGACTGGTGGACCCAGGATGCTGTCATGTCGGTCATGGACCACGTGTGTGAGAAATTGGTATGTATCCGGTTGCGCATAGACTCATCGTACCACACGCTTACATCACCGCAGGGCCGCAACACTGGCGTTAAGGCTATCTTCGGTGGCTCCGTCAAGAAGCCGCTGATGACCAAGGTGTCGATGCGCCACCTCAACGAGATCGTTCGCGAGCGCAACCAGTACTCCCGTGACGCACAAGAAGCCTGGACAGACTTCATCAACCTCAAGCAGCGCCTCGACAGCGAGCTTGGCAAAGTTACAAAGCGCAACAACTTCTTGGTCGAGGAGCTTGAGAGCTGGAAGCAACAGTTCCTCAAGTTCCAGGCTTTCGCCGAGCAACTCACCAAGGAGACCCAGGATCTCAAGGTCAAGATCGAGAACCACAAGCGTGAGAACCGTCGTCTTACAAGCCTTATCGACCAACAGAAGGATGATGCCGCAAGGCTTACTGTCCGTCTGTCCGGTACTGAGAAGCAACGTGACGACGCCCTCGAAGCCCTTGTACTACAGCAAGAGATTGCTGAGGAGCTCGAGCGCGAGAGGAAGAAGAACAAGAAGGAGCTTGGTGCTCTGCAACATACCAACGGTGCCATCCAGCGCCAGCGCGACGAGGCGCAACGGGTTGTGCTCCACCTTCGTGCTCTTATCGAGGGTCAGACCCACCACATGGAGCACATCGTCAAGTCCCTTAACCAGGATGACATGTCCAACTACATGGATGCCGGCTTCGAAGACGTGCCTGAGGAGGATGAGGACCAGGAGGAGTTCGAAGACGCGGCGTCGCGCCATCAAACCCCCCGTCACTCGATCAAGGACAAGTCTGAGGTCGGTACCATCCGCGGCGTAGCCGGTGTTGAGAGCCGCCAGGAGTCAAGAGCCAGCACTGCGCAGGGCAAGCACCTCGACGGTGAGGACGTTACACCCGACATGGAGCAGCGTCTATTCAACAACCCCGCACGCAACTCCAAGCGCTTCTCAAATCAATCAATGGTCGACGTCGCCGACCGTGTCCTGCGGGACAAGACCGACGCCATTGCCTACATCATCCGCAACATCTCAGAGCAGTGCGCTGCAGCTGTTGAGGGTCTTCAGCTCGCACAGCGTGCTGACACAGAAGATGGCGACAACCACAGCGACCGCCGCAGCAGCGTTGGTCAGATGTCATCGGCCGGAGGCCGCGCGCAATCGACTATTGGCAGCGAATACGGCGACGAGGACAACATGCTCCGCCCCAACCGGGGTTCAAGCATCCCCCCAACGCCCGATCTAAGCCATCGGTCCAGCACCTCCATGTCCATGGCCAGCGCCAGCACAACACCAGATCGGACGAGCCTACAGCACCGATCGCACGACATCCCTGTCGTACCAACACGCATCATCGAAGACGATGACGACGTAGACGGTAACAACGATCTCGACGCTCACATGGTTCCCGTGTCCAAGTACGCGCAACCATTGCAGCGACCCAACACCGCTGTACGCCACAACATGCGATAAGCTAGTCGTCGCCGCGGCTTGCCGCCATTCTTCCTCTACTTTGTTTTTATCATTAGCGATCGAAACGAGATTAGCATTGATGCCCTTTTCCTTACCATGTTACCTACCCCCGGCGTTGAACGGCTAGGGACCCTATTTTCTTGCTTTGCACTTCGTTACTCTCCTTGAGAACACCCCCTTGTCCGACGACCCCCCTTTGTGTACTTTGGGTCATTCCTTATGTTTCAATGAGAAGAGTTGTTGTCGTCGTTGTGGATCATACCCGAACAAAGATGGATGGATGGAAGCAACTCCAGTATGTGGGTATCAGAGCCTAAGAATCGGTAGTGGTGGAAAAGCGCTTTCTGGGAGGATTGTATTCTCCAAGGGAGCTGTCTTTTTCTTCCATTGCGCTAGGCAGATGGGCAGATGGCTCTTGTGTATGTCTGCTTGTAATTTGTTGTTTTGTTAGGATAATACCACTTTCTCCTTATGTTCTGAAATACATATGATCTACCTATATTGCCTCTCCATTTGCTGCTTGTGAGCTCGACCCGTCTTCTACTAGCTGTCTACACAGTGTCCCTGTCAAAGCAGCCCAGAAGGGCACTCATCCTTTCCTATATCGTATAGCCCGTCCACTGAACCTTCATCTAGACGCTGAACACCGCCCGGACTTGCGTCATATTCACGCGACTGACCACATTCGCGGCAATAGTCACCAGACCAAGCTACTTACCACAAACCCATAGCAGGTTATAAGCGCACAAGTTCGCCGCAGTCTCATTCCAAACCACTACCACTGTCAACTACGGCCGCCATCACCGATCCAGCCATCGCCCTAGGCAATAACTTCGCAAAGCTCTCTGGGCCTGAGAACTTCACAGACTGGTTCCAGTCTTTCAAAGACATCGCGAAGATCCACGGATACAATGAACACTTCAAGGACAACGCTGAAGTAGTCGTAAAGCCCATTGCACCCGCCTTCCTCGTACCTCAACAAGCCGCCGATCAGGGACAGGAGCACTCCGTTCCGCAGGATTGGGAGTACCACCTCGCCGTTTACAACACTCGTCTTCAAGAATGGAAGGACTATGATGTGGCCTCTCGCTCGGCTCTAGCGCTCCTCCACGCTGCTATCGAACCGTCAGTGTGGAAGGAAGCTAGAGACACCACCTCACCAGCATCCGCGTTGAAGACCCTTATCAGCCACGTTAACTACGAAACGCCTAACAACATCCTGGTAGACCGCGCCCGTACAGTGATCAGTTCTCTTGACCTAAGGACGTCAACTGCGGTTCGGCAATTCGTTGTCGACTTCAATGAGCTTTATGGAGAGGTGTATTTCGATGTCGACATTTCTACTTGGGCTATCGAAAAGATCAATGCAGCCCTACCTCGTTCTTACTGTACGCTCATCGAAGACCGTGAGCGCATCGGTGGCAAGATCACTTTCAATAGGCATACCTTCGAAGGGTATCGGCTTCATCTTCTCAACCATGTTTAAGGGGATGACCCTTAGAAAAAGAATAAGAAGGTTCGCAGATCCTCTGCATCAGGTGGATCTGTGTGGGAGTTGGTCATCATATCGATCGAGCTTACTGCCTGTGCTTGGGATATTGATTTAAAGCAAGCGACTCTACCCCCTGAGCTTAAGACCATGCATAATACCAATGCAGTTTGTGTAGACATTTATTAGGAAGTCTAGCCCCAAGAACGGCAACTACGTATTCTAGCCTGTGCATCGATACTACAACACGATTCAAAGCAAGAACACGTGTAATTTCATACCTTTAGATATGACAGTGCAAGTCTCTCATGTTGCTGATGTGACTGAGAAGATAGTCCCAACTGAACATAGAAGAAGAGTGTAGGACGAACCCATCAAGCCATTTTAACAGGACCAAATATTTCGATCATAAAGCCACGCTGGAGACTTGAGATCAACCGATAACACTGGTGAGATAGACCAGCTCGGTAGTCCTCCACATGATAGAAAATAGATACCTCGGGAGTTACCCCACTGAACGGAAATATTGAACATTCAGCTACGGAAGATAAGAGGCACAAAAATCACAGGATCCAGGAGCCTACGATACGTTCAAAGTTGACAAACTCTTATTCTTGTATTAATGTGGGCGTCAGCGGCCCTGTTTATATTTCTCCACTGTCTAATACAGAGGGAAAAATAGAAGGTTTAGCAAAGAGGAGCACAGCAGGAAGAGAAGCTTGCCATATCCTCGTTTTTCTCTTCCATCAACTGTGTTGCTAACAAGTCGTCCAATGTGATGTGGCTCGAGGCTTAGGCAAGTCAAGCCTCTCAATCAAACTCTCTTGTTTCTAACCCTCTTGCCAGCCAAGTCAAGCATGCTAGATCAGTTGACTTGGTTGTTGACGTCTCTGCCCAACAGAGTAGACTTTCGTAGATCACGACACTTGTTGGGACGTGTGATATGTTGTTGGTCTTAATGTTGTTGCTAGGAGACTGCACAGGCTTGTCTGATTGGAGGGACGTCTTAAGAAGCTTGTTGTTAGAAGAAGATGTCCGAAACCAACGATAAGGTAGGAGGAAATAGGAAGTAGAAGTTGCGTTACATTGACTTATCAATGGAGTGTACTCGACATGATGGTCCTAATCTTGGAGCATTGAGCTTAATCGTGTCTTGTGAGTTCTACGTTCGGTTGGTGAGTCGATATCCTCAGACACTCTACTATTCTTTGATCGTCGCGCGCATATTAAGCAACATATTCAAACGTTTATCACAGTCCCACACCAACACAACGATCCAAACCCTTACCTTCCATCATCCCAAAACCACTTCCATATTCTCCGATCGTCGTCCCCTTCGATCAAGTACCCCGGATCTACAATACATAAAAACCGTTATGCAATAACCGATCAATTATACATGTTTCATGCACCTCGCGGCAAGGGAATTAGTTCGCATAAAAATGTCAACACCTTACTGTAATCAAACTCTTCGTACCGAGTCTACTGCGGCTGTGCGGGGACGCAGCGGTGTGATCACGTTCAGCGGGCTGCAGACGCGAGATGCAGTTGCATGACTCGTCGTTGGCTTGCGTGCATTTTGGGCAGGAACCAACGTTGGATCGACGGGGAGCAGGAAAAAAACGGTCAGACATGAGAACGCGGTTGCGAAAGGCGAGCTAAAAGAGAAAGGGTTTGGAGATTTGGAGATTGGAGTAGGTGGGTACGGTATGTGAGATATTTTGGTCGTGGGTTGGTGGATGGAGACGGTTGACGGGAGTTTAAGCGGACGGTGTGGTGTGTCCGTGCTCGTGCTGATGACAGGCCTCAACGATGTCTGACAATTCAGGTGGTGAAAACGTAGTATCCATAGCAAGCAAAGATTTGGTTCATTGTCGATATGGTGGTCTGATGTTGTATGCATGTTGAAGTTGATTTCGATCGTCAAGGTGCCGGTGATGCTAGGTCGTCGTCGCATTCATGGTTCCGACGTGTACGTATAATTTGTAGCGCATCTCTTACATCTTTTAGTAATCTAAAGAGCGTGATGTACGCATCTAGTGATGTAAGCAGATCCTGGTAGCAGTAGATTTGACCGCACTGCGCGGAGGGTTTCGACATTGCATCCGCAGCCGCAGCCTAAGATGGATAACTCCCTGTGTTCATGCATCAATCTAGAACTCGGCCTTGTTCTGGCTGCATGCAACCGCAAAAGGTTATGAATCCAACGGTTTTACCGTTGAGGTTTGAGAAGTATGTTGAGGGGGGTAGTCCTGCAATGTCAGGTCTCTAGGCGGGTCGAGCCGAGATGTGTCCGACGTCTCCAAGAATGTAAGTGGCTTGTTCTAGAAGAGCTAACTTTAGAAAGTATTGACCGGCTGGTAGTGTAGCAGATGTTACAGCCTCATGCCACATTTTGCTCGACGTTGAAAGTGTCAGAAGGCCACGTAGGCGGCGTAGCTATAGCGGACGTTACAGATAATCGACGGTCTGTCTACTCGCATGAAACCGAGCTCGATTGAGTTCATAGTCGATCGTAGTTTGACGTACCCGATAGCCGTTGCTGTCATCCCGGTTTGGAAGATGCTCGATTGGTTGCTCGCATCCCGTCGCGGGCCCTAACAGTTTCCCGTGAGTGAAGGACCACAAAGCGGAGTCAACGGCTCGGGTGCATTGGAAACGGGCCGTAATGGAATGACAATTTGTCAAAAAAGGACAGAATATGTGTGGCGAAGTGGAAGAGAAGCGAATACGGCGGGTGGTAATCTTGACTCGGTGTCCGAATGCAGTCAAAATAAAGTTCGACGTGGGGCCAGGTTGCAGTAGCCGACATCTCGCGTGTAGCGCACGTGTAAGACGGTGAATGTCTCGGAGTAGTGGAAAGCTACACAGCGCTGATAACTTTATTGTTGGTATTACCCCGCACTCTTTGCAACGTCGAAAACTGGCAAGCAGAGTATAGAACGGCCTTACCTTCATGTCTTGAGCTCACGACATAGTTGCGTCGAGCATCTCCACTTCCCGGCCACGTGCCGGCTTTGCAGATTCTGAGACGAACGGTGGACCGGGGTTGGCGGTATGCAGCTAGCCATGGTATCTTGAAGAACTCGTGGCTCGGGTGTACCAACTTGGAACTTGTAACGATAGTGGGTCCTGATCTTCCTTCGGTCCTAGTGCGGAAAGGACGAGAGACAATGGCATCAGCCGCGCTTTTTGTGCTGGATAGTACTGGATGAGTACCTGTTTCATGACCTCGGAGTAGAGCTCGATGCGTAGGGTCATACACAACGATATTGGTGACAATAGCAGCCGGCTTATCTCCAACAATCGACGACAAACTCCGCAGTGGGGTCATGATCCGCGAAGAAACAAGGCATGTCGTGCATATGGGTCCCGTAGTCGCGAATTTAGTATCTATAATAGCCGGCTGCTATTACATTGTGGATAACAAAATTAGTATGCAAGCGGTTGGGCATCATCGCACTTACTGTATTGCCGGCCTGCTCGGGGCTCAGTTACTACCGTGGGAAGGCAGTAGCGACGGCAGATTCTGCGGATGTGCTCGAGATGTTGCTATGACTCTCGCTCGAAGATAGGCCGCTGGACCATAGTGGTTGGCATCTCCGCTCATCTCCGTCTGCACTGTTAGCATTCTCTGGGCGAGTGAAATGAGGCGGGCAGGGCGAAGCAAAGTGAGTGTTGGAATATATGAAGATAAGGCATGGACGCTCAATGAGGAAGCGACGTTGGAGATAATGACGACATGTCTCAGTATTTTCAAGGTTGCACGATGCACAGTCACAACACGTTGCTCATCGCGGGGTCATTTACTGGCTGAGGAAGGCACGCAGGTTGTGCTCAGTTGATAGCACGCATAGTATTGACATGCCGCCTCGTCTCGAAGGGCGTCAGCTGCCGGTCACGTGGGGGTCACAACTTCCAAGGCTGTCTGTCTTGGACCATTTGCTTCACATTCAAGTTTGATTCCCAGCTACAACCTTGGAGGTGCATATATCTAACGTACAATGATGCTTGTTGATGTAAAGACGGATAAAAAGTGGCGGGAGAGTCTAGGCGATGGGACTTCCTAGTTGGGACGTAGTGCGCCTGCGCGCGTGGACATGAATCACTCAGGCACAGTGCGTCTATGTAGTCTGATGGCAAGTTCCAGCAGGTAGCGGACGTCTAGGAGAATTGCGAGCATATATTCCGGAGTAGGGTACCGTCCGCGGGAGGGACTATGCTAGACTCATGGATGGTTTAGGAGTTTTGACAATTTCGCAGAAAGGGGGTGTGGTGGATGGCGAGCCAAAGCCACATGGCGCTGGTCGAGGGCGCTAGAAACAATCACGTTCTCTCGCACAGCGGCGGTGGCTTGATGCGTCTGCAGGAAAGGAGCAAGGTCAAGGGGCTCGGTAGTTTTGCGCGTGTAGTGGAGGCGGTCTTGCAGTCGATGCCCCTCTCTGGCTGCGGTTTCCACAGAGGTGCTGCAGCTTCGTCACCTGTGCCAAGAGCAGGGACGGGTAGTTCGCGTAGGATTGGCAAGCGCTGAAACGCGCTATTAATTGTACCTGAAAGGCCGGCGCAGCGACGCGAGGCGGCATAATGGAAGCAATTGTTTCCTCGCAAGTGAGATGAGGCTGAGGGATCTACAGCCGCATACGCTGGGTGCGGACGACAAGGCCGGGAGCGGGCTGCCGACGCATGAAAGGCATTGCGCGTGCTATGCTCGAGCTTCCATGCGGCATGACAAAGATGCGGCGCCTTGTTCAGGTTAGAGATGGTCAGAGATGGACAAGGAGAATTGGAAGGAACGGCCGCCGATCGCTAGTGAGGCAAGACTAGCCCTGGAGGTCTACTCCGGAGTAGATGGTGAAAGCTAGAGGGGCTCGAAGCAGGGGGGAAAGTACATGGAAACAAAGTTTGAGACATGATTATTCCCCCGCAGCGGTCCAATGGCTGGCAGGGCTGCAACGCTGAAGGGCTGCTCAGGTGGACGCAGGGGAAGAGAGAGCGTC